GTTGGGTAAGGGCAAAACCTGTTATATAAAAGTGGTCAGTTCTCTTTATATAAATGTACAAAAATGGCCTTGCCCACAGTGTTGTAACAAAATAATTTTTCTACGAGTCAGGTTTGTCATAAGTAGTTTTTCCACAAGTCAGCTACCATGACAATGTTTTACTAGTAGCAAGTTAATAAAATAAAATGTACGTAATAAAATTACCCATATCTACAGAATTGTTGTTTAAGCCTATCAGATGTCATTATTGACAAGTAATTGTACTCCTTCTTGTTTCCTATGCTGTTTTGCTAAACAGGTCTTTACCATATCCATGTGATATTCCTTACAATTCCTTAGATACTTTTTATTGTATTTATTCCCAAAAAGTTGGTTTATATCAACTAGTCAAATTTGATCAAGTACCAAGTCATTTTTCATTCCAAGTCTGAAGTTAAGTTAGCGATACTGCTAAGTGCTAGTCATCAGCATCAAAGTGCGTGCAAAAATCCCAAGCCTGTTGAGCTATAATTAGTGCCCGAAACAATGCCCATGTTTCAACATTGACTTGGTCACAGTAAATGGAGTATAAACACAGCTCTCGAAGGGTTTCCCATTCACAGGCTTCGATTCACTGATTTGACTGTAAAATTCCTAAATTGGCACTTTTAAGTTAAATACATGTAGTACATGTTCTACGATTGCATTCAGACATTTGAACTTTATTTTGCACGTGATCAATTGATACATTTTAACAAATTTCAACAAATTTTACTCAAGTTATAAGCCCAACGGCCATTCCGGGAGAAATTTGAAAGCAAATTATGAGAATAAGAATGCAATACACAAGAAAAATCCAACAATTTTTTATATTACAAAAAAGATTCAAATTTGTAACTGAAATTATCCTTTTTTCTACCTTCCAACTTGCAAAGAAAAAACTCCCTTCAGCAAAATAAGTATTTCAGTTTGTTCTGGAAATACATTCCACCTGCTCGACCGTGGATTCACACTGTACTGCGAGCCTTTTGATAGATGGGCGCCTGATCCCCCACGGAGGGCGACAGGTAGCGCCCTCTTGCGTACTGTATATGTGGATCGTTTACGGTAACTATCCACCTTTGTGAAGCGTTGTCAACACCCCAGCCTGACGTTCCCATTTCTGCCAGGGGTGTAATTGGTGTATTTCAATTTTTAATACGATTACTTAAGCATGTGCATTCTTCCACCTTATACTAGATTCTTATTTACGTGTTAAATTACAGAATATATCTATGAATATAATAAATGCTTTTGTAAAATGCACGATATATAATTTACGAGTTTACATCCACCGCTCGAAGTAAGTGGGTCGCGCTATGATTGACAAGTGCATGCTTGCAATTAATTTGAAGGCGCTAGCTAGTACTGGAATGCACGGAAAATGGGACCAGGAAGATAGCCCCTTCACCATGTCCGCTGGACAGTAATCAGTTACTGTGTGATGAACACCGTAATTGAATAGAAGAAACTACTGAAACAGGGAAATCGGTGAGTGATATTTTAAACAACTTTTCGATGCGCGGAACGTTACCCATGCATGGTGATTACGATAGGGACCAGCCCCACGGAGACACCGGTGCTCGCCGTTCCGCTAGCCCTCCCCCCGTAAAGTGCATGGAAAAAAGCAATTTTGTTGTTCGGTTGTTGTGGCCAGGATATTGCTACTCTTGGAAAGAGTTCCATATGTGGACGCCACTTGACACCCCGTGCATAAACCCTGTGAGACTTGTCTGAAAACTTCTAAGTGTTTTCTAAGTAAACGACTCTGTATTTTCCTTCGTAAATTGTACTTCTCTGGATATATTTTGCTTTCTGATACTAGTATCACTGATAGTAAAAGGCATAGTAAATGATACTCTTTCTCTGCTGTTGGATAAAGCGGATGTATGGTAGCCCATTAATGTGGCCTACGGTAGGCTGCGCTCCCCAATATTAGGCCACATTAATGGGGCTACCATACATATACATGTACACAACACTTGATGCCCCTGTGCACATCTCTGGCAGACTTGTTTGAAAAACCCAACTGTTTACTTTGTAAAGAATTCAGAATTTTTTTGGCAAAATTTCACTTAAGGACATGTTAAATTTTATTTTTATCCTTTTTGATGGCTTTTCTAACATTGTGAGGGAAAATAAGTGTTGCCTGTATATAGAATTCTTTCGGATAAAGTTCTGCAATATCCCTGGCACACTATATAGCCAGTGGGGCTAGTCGTTCTGCTGGTCAGAGGGGTGGAATGATGAGTTGAGAGTTCCAGGGGCAGACGATTGCTGGTGGTACTCGTTTAGTCCAAGTAACTTGGACTCTACAAATTGCCTTTTCTAACATTTGGACATAGTCGGGCGATAGTAGAGTCCAAGTACCTTCCATAGGCTTTCCCTTCCATTATTTCATTTTGCTCCAAATACCTTGTATCCTATATCAGAATTCATCCCCCAAACAATCCTGAAACAGGATGGGGGAACAGGTCAATTCGTGCCAGTGCCAACTCATACATGTACACTGACCAACTCATATGCAGACTGGTCAACTCACAGCAGAAATGTATGTGATATGATGTGTTTTCAATCCTGTGGCATGGGGGATTGTATCTTCTGAAAAAGTACACCTAGAATTTCTGCAGCTTAGTTCTATTTCTACATGTACATGTAGCTGCTGTGTATGGATGTACAATGTACACTGTACATGTATCCACACCTTTGTGAAATAAGGACCCCCAGAACACAAACCCCAATGGCTCTTTACAGAGCAACACATTTTCAAAAGAGACGCTGCATTGCTGAAAGGCTCTTTTCAGAGCCACATGCCCCTAGTGTATTTTTAGCTAGGAAATCAATCAATCTGAAAAAAAATGGATATTTGAAAAACCACAAAATAATCTCAAGAAAATAATTAAGAAAAAGATTTGCCTAGGCACATAAAACATTCTTCGAAATCCTAGTTCCTTTTTTTTGCGGTTCAGGTCACTTGGAAAGAAAAGCTACCTGAATCTCTCACGACAAATATCTTTTGCTAGAAAATGAGCAGAAAGCTGAAGGTATTCCTAATTTGATGCCAAATGTATTAACTCAACTACGCATGCAACTACATGACGTAGGAGTTGGCGTACTAGTCGGTTGGCATATAAGTTGGTCTATGTACAGGTTGGTGCGTATGAGTTGGCATATGTACAAGTTGACCAGCATTCCCTGAAACTGTCCAATGGACCCACTTTAGGATTCATTGGGAATAAAAGATTCCAATACTGGGTGGTAATATTTACTCACACGCAGGATGAAAAGAGAAATTTACCATTGAAATTGGAAATGCTTGTCAGACGAGGTCAAAGTCGCCATCTTCATATAGCAATTCCAACTGTATGTTAATGTCCTGGAGACGACATTATGACATGCTGGCCCCCAGCAGACCATTTGCAAAAAGCATGTGGTGTTTGCACATGCATCCCAACGACTGTTTCCTGAGCGGTGCAACGTCTAGTGTACAACTCAATGTGGTCACAGCTACCGAACATTGCACCACTTAGGAAACAGTGGCCCCCCACTTTTTTTTGACATGCCCCCCTTCACTTTTGCAGGTCCTACAGTGGGAGGGGGCATAATGGATCAGCCTATTAATGGTTTATGCCTGATGGTCTCACAACTGTTCCCCCCCCCCCATTTTGAAAATCATTCTGCTGATGGTGCATGACATGGAATGGAAAGTCGGTGACATCAGGGTGTTTTTCCCCAAATTTGAAAGATGATGGCTCTGTGACAGTAGTCATGGCATACATGTAGGGTCCAATGTATGGTTTCTTAATGTTGAAGTTAAGACAGTTACATGTTAAGTCTTTTGCTTCCCGAAGTCAACTATGTGGTACTGGGTGAGAATACCAGGGTGGATAATTAAATCTGGGGAGAAAAAACCCAGACCCAAAAATTGAGGCCTGAGTGAATTGTACGGCAACAGCTGTGTAATCATCTCCGGCCATTGATTTGAATTTCTGCATGTCTTGATCATTAGGGCTGGGGTTACTCAAGTTACAGTACACTCCAATAAAACTCACCAAATAGTAGACATTCAGAAAGGACTTGGGTAACCAAAAATTGGAACAGTCTGTTTATTATACAAACTCACTATCCGTTGTACAGCTGTGATCTTTCCAGAAAAAATGTGTGCTGTGATTTGTCTGGTTTTCATGTTGAGCTCATTGTACCTACATGCACAAGAAGCTCTGTCATGGAAACACTGTGAAAGTGGGTATACAAGAACACACAGTGCATATATAGAAGGACTTTATTAGTAATTAATAGAAACAGTTATTGTAAAACTAACTTGACAACTTATTCTCCCATCCTTTGCGATAGTTGAAATTAGATGGGAGATTTTTCATTTATTTAATACATTGATTAATCAAAGTATTAGAGAATAACTAAAGCTCATCACATCTGTTAGCCAACAGAACAGAGGTGCTTTTTTGCATTCTTTTGTTAATTTGAACAACCAATCTACTGCACAAAGCTGATAATTATTTCATCATGACCATTTGGGTCCAAGGTTTCAACCCAATCAGGCATGCACTACAGGAAATAACTTGTTTTAAATAAAATGTAATTTGTCTCCTGATTTGATGTCATCATCACATCAGGTAAGTTTTCGTCTAGAACACTTCCTTTCCTTGATATCTGCAAAGTTTGAAATCGATGGGATGTGTACTCCAGGAGATATAGGGCTTTAAACAGTGCAACCAGAAGAGAAGTAATGGCTTTTTACACAAAATTGCATGGTGCGGTGAGAGAATTTGACATGTACATTGCAGTAGTGACTGCTTAATGCCTTTCTCATGCAGTTTACTGGAAGTTGAGGTCACAGTGACCAGGAAATGGAGCAACCTCTCCAAATTCTTTCACACCCGTGCCATGGACGGGGGGACGGTTTGGTTCCTCATCAGCAACAAGATGGTGCTTGTGCTGGTCCCATCATGGGGGCGGGTCTTCTTGGCCAGTGGCATGCATTCAAGGGGAGGCCCATTGATAATGAGTTGGACATGGAATTCCATCGGCAGTTGGATCATGTGGCTGTGTGGATAGACAAATGGAATCACCAGCAGGTTGGTTATTCAGACGCTTAAGCAACATAAAGTACATGTATGTAGGACCCTTTGTTGATATCATTGTAAGTGTGTTTGTATGTAGAAAGTTTTGATTAGACTAGGAACAAATATAAGTTATTGTACACATGTTGGAATTAACTTCATGTTACGTGTCGTCAAGCCCAAGGTGGGTAGTTGATGAGAAATTGAGTTACATGTAAAAATACTGAATCCCAGTTTTTTCAATTAAAATTTTGAATAATCTGAGAGACCCTTTCTCGACCTAATGTAAGGTTTATTTCTTCACAATTCATCATTGAAATTACACCACGTCAGTGCTTGCAAAAGCTCATCCAAACCACACTTTCTTAGACAGACATCCGAATGATGAAAAGATATGTGAAAATTTTCTCATTTTTGTAAGGTTCTTATTGCCTCACCTTGCCATCTCTGTGACCCATTTTGTACCCCACCTGTTACATCATGTGGAAATGGCTTTATGTCCTGAAAATAAGTTTTCTCTTTTTTTTGCCGACTGCCAAAAGCACGAACTTCATTCGTTGGCTTTTCTGCATATATGCTTCTTTACAATAGGAAGATTCTTTGCCATAAGTAGCAATGTTTTAATGCAATTTCAGAATGTCACACTTGTTCATAGTGTTTGGTAAATTTAATAAAAAGAAACAAAAGGGAGAAATAAACAGAATTAAAATCAGTGTTCCTGACTATTGGCACCAATGGAATGTTGCTCTTGAGTTTACTAAAAAATAAGTAACTTATTGTGGTGTTGTAAGTGGTTTTCAAGCACTTCACTTGAAATGCACTCGTGACCGTCTCTTGTCACCACTCCTTTGCAGAAATGTCTCATTCTGGAGGGCCTTTTAACGAGGAGTAATTACAGCCAGTTTGGGTTTCTGTGGACAAGTCTACAGCCAGCGCTCCACAGGGACTTCATGTACACCTCACAACAGCTGTTTCCAGAGCACAAATTCACACCAATCAGCACCTATGTCAGTAGACAGACTCGAGCGAGGAGAGCTGTCCGTAACTACTATCACGTCGGAAGGTGGCCTTTTTTGTGTAGCTATTTTAATGAAATTGCACTAAACTTTGCCCTAGCAATATTTTGCAGGCAAGATCCATTTTTCACTAGTAACATAACTCCTTGACGACGGGAATTTCTTCCCGAACGCCGACTCCAAGAATTCCAGCCTCGCTTGGCCACGAAGGCCACCTGCCAAACCGCAAATTCTCGGTTTGTAGCCCTGGTGCTGTGCATGCTTTGAATTACACGGTGAAAAGGCTGATTGTTCGTTGGCATGCGGCTCTACTCACCCTTCCACATTCCCGTTGCCTCTTTTCAAAGTAGGGACTATTGTGAAGCTGGTAATTATGATGCAAAATCGGTCTTTTCATTTCTGGGCTACGCACAAAGACCAATTACCAAATATACAAGAGCCAGGGTCCGCCTTCTTTCACCGTGTTCGCTCGAGTGTGGGCTGAGAATAATAGCTGAAAAGCGGGCTGAGGATCTCAATTTTTACGGTGGCTATAGCTGCCTCCCAGTGCGAAGGGGTTAAATCAGCTTTAACAATGTCTATAACAATGTCGATAACAACTGTAAAGCTTCGAATGCAGGAGTGCATTCCTGGGAAAAATTAGTGTGAAATTAGGGAGGGGAACTTCTGGGTGATTCTTGAGCGATAAACCGACAAAGCCAGTCACACTTCAAAGTGCTGTGTCTGCAAAATCTCTTCTCTGTATTTCCTTTTCCAGCTCCCAAACTTCACCTTTCTTCTTCAGTGGCTGAAAGTAAACTGACCATAATCTTTTTAAGAACAGAAAGTAAACCTTTCCCTGCTATTCAAATTCTTTGCATGGTATCATTCGCGATTTACTATAACACATACATGCACACATGCACATATTGACACATGTACGCAGCTGCTTTTAACATTCCATGCATATTAGAGTTAACTGTTTACATTCCTGCACCATTATATCTTGATTTTACATGTTACATGTATAATTCTGTCCCAGGTTCGTATCCAGAATTTTTCAAGCGTGAGTGGTTTTAGAAGGTTTATAAGTCTAGGAGTGTGTCTCAGAATTATGTAAATAATTAGCATAGTGATAGTGGAGGTTGGGTTTGAAGGGGATAGCCAGCGGGGCTCAGTTTGCTGGTGTGGCTAAGTATAGAAACTGTTTTTAACTAAATTTGTGTGCTGCATAATAAGCAGAAGACTACCAGTCACTTAAAGTATACATTGGTAATTAGGAGTCCAAAAGTGTTACATTTGTCTGTCCCTGTTACATATGACCTTTGTTATTTGACTTGGAAATATCACTGGAATTGATTGGAAACTGTTACTATATGTTTGGCAGGTTATTTGCATTAATTCATCACTCTTGGAAATTAGACAAATGTGTTCTGAACTTAAACATCATATGTCAGATGTGACAGGAACACACAAAAAATGGACCCCTAATTTCTGGAATTACCCACGTACGTGTAGATAGCCTGACGTAGTTTGCAGAGGTTGTCTGCGCATGGTCAATTTATGTTTCTGGCAGTTCCTGAAATTGGTCCCAATCAAGGGGTGTGGATTCATGTCTATATCAGGGAGGGACAATGATGAACCTGCAAAGTCAAATATCAACGGTCAAATATCAGCAAACTAATAAGCATAAATCAATGCCAAAGATGGAAATAATATGACTACAAGCAGTACTTTCTGTCGCTCATCATGTTACATGTTATCAACCACCATTGTACATATACATGTACTTTGAACCTTTAACATGTGGCTATTGGTACTTTGTATGAACACTGAGATGAAGGGATTATAACATATTTTGCATTTCTCTTCTGTTTGGTGCCCCCTCCATTTTTTTTTTGAGGGGGAATCCTTTGGCCTATCCCCATTTCCACTTAAAAAGTGTAGAAGGAATGTATCCCCTCTCCCATGCAATCTGTATCCTTTGTCATGGTCTGTTATAATCCCTGGCTTTACACAGAATTCCCTGGGTATTACTTGCATTAAAACAGTCAAGTAGCAGGTTCTTGCTTCTTTCTAAAATGGGGAAAAATGACAAAAAGCCAGTGGTATCCATTGCTTGACACAGCATTGTGGTTGTCTTTATAGCGCTCATCTGCAGAGGAGGTCAGATGTCATGCGATGCAATACAGACATTGGTCTTACAAACCCTGAGGAACTACAAGCAACAAGGCAGGGCAAACAGAGGTCAGTCGGGATACTCCACTTTATGATCAAACCAGCATTGGACAAACTACGTGTGTACTGATTGAGCTGTAACTGATGAAATGCCAAAAATAGTATTTTGTTGGCCTTCCGCAATGCAAAGTGTGGTCATTAGCCTTTATTTTGTGTGTGGAGAACAGTTCATATACATGTATTGAAAAAAAATTATTTACATTGTACATGCATTGAATATTCTCTGATTTCCAATATACATGTACATGTACAGGTAGAGTTGTATCAATTATTTAAAAAGGGGTGGAGGATAACTGAGAATATTACATAGGCTGAAAACGTCCACTTTAAAATCAAGGTATACTCCTCACTTACAAAGTAATATGCTAACATGGTGTTGGGTTTAAAGTACATCAAATGCAAGGCCATTAGGCAGTAATTTGAAATTATTTACAAAACAATGTAATTATTTCGGGGGGTGGGAGTCAAGCAATGATTCTGAGGAGACCTAGGTGTACACGTACAATGTATGGAGTTAGTCTTAACAAAATCTTGAACTGGGGTCATGCAGAGGGAAAAAAAGTACCAGCATGTGAACTGAACTTGCTAACATGCACAGTTTAGTCTTGCCCGTGAACAATTGTATGTGTTCATTTCCTGGTCTATTTCTCTTCCCCTCTGATTTGTGACAGCGGAAAAATCACCCTGTCTCGAGATCACCAGTTTTCCCGAAGCACAACCAACATCAAGCTGCCGAGCATCCATTCTGGTCACTACCATAGTCGCGGGGATGCCAATCTACTCTCCAAATCTGCGCCAGCTTCTCTCAAGTGAGTAATTGATATTGAACTGTGTCGGTCTTTGGATGAGAGGCTGAGTTGCTTGAGGGGACGACCTTATAGGCGGTTAACATTGCCAATTTTGTCACAGATATATTCCATAGCATTTCACGTAATCAACACAGTGGATTGTTTTCAGCGTGTGAGTTGATCTGTCTAAGTTGGGCTCATCCATTGGAAATACTTGGAAGACATTTTTTGAGAAGCCCATATCATTTTTGAAAAGATTTTGTTTTCAAAAGGTTGGATGAATTGAAATAATTCTTGAAAAAGGGAATGTATCAAGACAATACAGTTCTTGTGGCATCTAGATGCAGTATGGTCCCCCCTCTGTGAACAATACCAGAGTGTATCTCTAAATTTACATTTTTCAGCTATGTAATGAGTTCATCATGCCTCATTCAGTTCACTTTTGTTTTTTTTTAACTCTGTTTCGCTATTCAAGTAGTTTGTGCTACCAATATGTTGGTCTTTCTAAGGGTGGGTACCTTTGTTTTGCTAGACTGTGGTACCTTTGATATTTATACTTCTTGCTTTGGAATAGTGATTAGCAAAAAAGTGCTAAAATGTGGTGAGAAAGTGCATATGTAAATATTATAATATTGATGAGCAATCTATCTGTTTGTATTTTGCAGGAGAATTACAGACAATGCCCCAGCTGTCCGTCGACATATGCAAGATCGACCCCGGCCAAATGCACCAAAAGAAATCCCCAAGGACTACAGTCCAGTCACTGCCCACAACCTGCCACGTCTGACCAAGTCCCTCACCCAAGTACAAATCAGCCACACCAGACCAACTATGGTGAGTATGGCCCTTTGTAGTGCTGTCCATTTTCAAAATAATTTGAATGTAGATATTCTGAATTGCTTTGACCAAATCCCCCAATGTCCAAGACTCACCAGGCACATTTTACACTAGTTAGCTGCAGTTGCCTGCTGTGCTGGTCAACGGTTGTCTGAGCAGCACTTCTTAAAATTAGCATAATACAGCAATTAATAACTGCATATTGCTGATCATTATGTGTAAGCATTCTGTGGATCAATGTCAGTGAAATTTCTACTCTCTTGTTATTAATTATTTAGACATGCAAAGTGCAACTGGAATTGCACATATCTTGAGGATATGCTATTAGTGGTACCTTAAAAGTACCTTCTGTTTTCCAGCAAGCAAATAAGGCATTGTCACTATGTACGTGTATTTTGTCTGTATGTAATCGGATATTCAAACTGGCAAAAAGCTAGTTGAAAATTGGCTTGGTGATTGAATACATGTATTTGGTATATTCAAGGTGGCACTATCATTCGAAGCAGCAGTCTGTTCTTAAGGCCTGTGAAAAGGTTTTTTTCTGCCAGCTTTGTGGTTGAACACAGTTTTTTAATGTGAGAACTCACCCATGAATTTCATGTTTTGGTTTATTATTTCTATTTGTTTCTCACCGTAGTCTGGTACCTCCCCAAGAAATCTTCCTCCTATTCCTGTTGTACCTGATGAAGTCTGGCAGTTATACCATTGGTACGAGGAATGCTGGAATGGTAAGTTATGATTAAAAGGAAATAGGTACAGGGTGTTTGACAAAATGACCTCTGGTGGCATATCCAGGTTTCATATTGGTGGTGGACAAAATGAGGATTTGTTTACCGAAACACAAATGTGCCAGTTTTTATCATATTCAAAAGAATCCTTGAACCCCTCCCAGAATGCTGGTGAAGTTCTGTCTCTAAAGTTCTGCTACTTTGTTTTTTAAATTGGAACCATATCCCCAGGGAACAAGTGGCACCAACCTCCAGCCTCTGGTGGCAGTAATAGGAGGGAGGAGCAGAGGTGCCATTAGCCCCCCACTTATTCGACTTTGGGGTAATGCCCTGTCCCTGTCCTCCACTTTTGGCAAGTTCTTTAATGGCTGAGGCCCTTATAGTCTAACAAATGGCCCCCCACTTTGAAAATTGTTCCGCCGCTGTTGTCCCAGTTTCTGGATTCACCATGTGCCTTGAAAGGCGTCCAGTTTTGCCCGGTCTGAATCTCCTCCTTGTGGGTGGCCCTAGTCAGCTTAGTCTCACAGATGTTATTAGAAACAGAATCTGTCAACAAGAAACACTTTATTGTTTGTGCTGTCATCTTTGTGGTTTTTATGTAAACTTACAGACAGAACTTTTGCCTAAAGAAATGGCTACCAGGCTTGTTGGATTGGAGTCCATGAATATCATGCAAAAAGTGTAACAATGTGTAAATGTTCAATATAAACAAACCCCAATCAAAAAATCCGAAAATTTGTGTTTGAGCATTTTTAAACAGTGACAAAATAAAACAAATGATTCAAACCTAATAACTTATTAAGATCTCAAAATTCTATTTAACTGTTGGAAATTAAATTTGCTATTGAGTGGACTGTCTAGATAATTTTATGAATCAAGTTTTGGATTTCTGTCTAAATCGCAATTTTCACTGGAACTTACATGTATTTCACACCTTGTAGATGTCCAAAGAAATGAGTTCCTTCATAAACTGTTGAAGAGACTGGATTCCAGGCAGCTGTACTTCCTATGTAGCTCATTAGCGGTAAGCATGTTTGCTGCTTTTCTGTCGTTTTCATTTTTGTAAAGAAAGGGTTGTTTGTTGATTCTTTGATTTTGAGTCATGTTGTTGAATGCTGTAATATTTTTTATATTAACTTTTATTTAAACTTAAAACTTTTATTTTTTTCGTTTTGTTTTAATAATTTGTGTTAATTACAATTCATTGTTATTGTTTTTATGGAAAGCGCATTTGAATATATATGTATTATAGAATTTGCACTGTGTAAGTCAATAAATTATTATTAATTATTAAAAAGTGGAATGTTGTGCAGTGTAGTAGGATTGAGAGAACAGTCCAACAGTTTGCAACTCCTGAACATTGCCAAGGGTTTGTTTTCATTTTGGAAATAAAGATGTATAAGCAATTTCAACTTTCTGAAAGTTGTTAAAATGTAACTGTAAATCATGGAACCCTAGTACACTTTTCCAGTACTGATTCAAAAGGCTATACTTTTGAAATTTTCAAAAACAACATTTTAAGTGTTTCAGTGCTGGGTTTTTATTTCACTCCGTAAAAAAAGGTGAACTTTCTTTTCATGTGAAAGTAGTAGCAGACAAAATGTGATTTCTTAGTTTCATGAAGGATCGTTTTTGTTTGTAAAATTAGCAACCATCAAAGACCTTGACCTAGCTCTGTATGCAAGATTTCAACAAGGCTCGGTTATTATGTCAAACATCACTCTCTATCATACCTTTTTTTCAGCTAAAGCAGTCACGGGACTTCATTGCCCTTCTGCCAGAATCACTGGCCCTACGTATCTTGCAATACCTCTCCCCCAAATGTCTCTTAGTGGCAGCTTTGGTCAGTCGCACGTGGTGTCGGTTGGCCAGCCATGACAGTATATGGAAAGCCAAGTGTGACCAGGTTGATATCGGTAAGCTCAAGTGTGCCTCTATTGATCCTTTGGTCACATCCCATTGCCAAACTATCAAATGCTTGCAAACTTCCATAGTTAATATTGTCTTGCACTGGCAGTTGAAGTATATCTAGATTTGTGCCTTTTAACATTTTGAGTGTAATCAAACAAATATTGCCAGATTTAAAACAGAATTTATTTTTCGCAATTATCAATTGTTGACTACTTTGATGTTGCTTGTGGTGTTTTACCACATGAGGGATTTGCCACACCATGATTCTTACCATGGTAAAGAGTCAAAGAAACAGATGACATTTGTAAGTTGTCGTGCATAAAATGAATTTAATCAGATCAGAGTAGTATTAAGCACCACATGCAGTGTCTTTGTGAAACAAAGCGCGTAAGTTGGCATTGGATCCCTACAATATTGTGTCACAGTCATTTTAATAGTCTGGACTCATGACTATTCAAGACCATTGAACTAATATCAAAATAATGAAAGGTTTGCATTCATACAATAATTAAAAGAATTGGAGTGAGTGTGGTATTCGTTAAGGCAAAGAATTTAACCTTTCACTTCATGAAAAAATTCTTTGATTGAAATAATATTAACATTCTTTGTTTGTTTTATAGAAATACTGTATAATAAACCATTGTTGGTAAATTTCTGTGTAACAGTTGCCATTTTACTTATCAGTCTGAAGTAAAAATGTAACATAAATGCTTTGTTCATGCTTAGACGAGCAATCCTGCATGTACCTGTCTTACATCATGCTGAAATCATTTTGACATGTTAGAAGCACTAAATCATTACTTACAATACATGTATGTGTTAAGAATTTTTCTCATATGACAGGAGACAAAATGTAAGCAAAATTTTCTGTGTTTTTGTAAAGAGCCATTCTTGAACCTACTGCATGCACATGCAGTGCAATGGTCTCTCTTTGTGTGAAGAGCCATGACTGTGCTTACCATGTGTGTACATAGTACAGTGGTATAATCCTTGGGTATGACCAGTAATCCCACTGTTGATTATACCAAACAATTCATGACATGTGATCAGTGACCCACCAGTCAGATGACAGAATTGATTTAGGCGTTGCATATATGTGGTGTCAGTTTGACAAGAAAAGGTATCTTACCAGTTTTGATAGGCGTTCTGATTCGTATATTTTTCCTTGGCTTTTTCGTGCAGAAATACCTCTGCCGAGTGGAAATTTCCGTTGGAAGACAGTTTACAGGGACAACGTCTTTCTGAGACAGAATTGGGAGTCTGGTAACTGCAAGCAAATTGATGTCAGAGGTCATACAGCCAAGTAAGTCAGAAAACCAAGCCTTTGTGTATGTGTTGATAACTTTTGAATAATTTCTTTCTGAGAACCTAATACCCTTTGTAGAAATAAAACTTCTTACATGCTATGCTATTGAGTTGTTCACAAAACCTTGGTATTCTGTGGTTGCATGTCCTCTATACTCCGACTTGTGTTTTTACCCACAAACAGTTGGAGGGTGTATTAGGGTTTTCATTCAGTTGTAGACAATGAATAATAGAAGACACTGACAGAGGCCCACAAGTCCAAAATTACATATGCACATATCCTATAGGACCTTTTCAAAATCTTTGTGAGTGTAGACATCAGGATAGCTGGATGTCTGCAATTGGGAGTGTTACACTTGTAGGTATGGGCTTTTCAGACTCAGTCCCTTGGGACTGAAACGCAAGGAAAAGGTATCCTCAAGCATACATGACTGAGTGTGCCTAGACATTTGGAGAGTTTCGTTTAAAAAAAAGAAGGAAGTAAAGTTGCACCTCCTCTAACGTAGTGCTGTTCAATATACATGTACAAATGAATATTGGGAGTTATGGCATATACAAGGAACAAAGAGTAACATTAAGACAGTAGAACCCTGCAATTCAGAGCAGATGACCATTTGTCAAGCACTGGTCAATTTTGGTCACTACCCAGGAAATATTTCGTTCACAGGTTACCAGGGAAAGTTGACCAGTAGTCTTAAAATGGTCATTGTTCTAACTTGCCCTCCATCATGAGCAGTCAGGTACCCTATATTGGTAACACTGTAGAGCAATGGAGGCAAGGAAAGTGTCCACAATAACATTAGCCACATGTGCTGCACAGGCATGACCACTAGTTTTGACTGCATAGTGGAGAACACTGGCTTTCAGTGTATTTGGGAACATTAATTATCTTTGTTAGGGTGCTGTGCGTCACATTTGATGGCAAGTCAAGACTGGCTAGTGGTAGTAAGGATTCCAGCATCAAGATTTGGGACATCCATACTGGAAACCTGATTCAAACATTGAAAGGACACACGGTGAGTCACATGGGTACCAGGTTTGTGTATTGCTTTAGAAAGATACAAACAAGGTTCATGTTAAAATCTTTGGTTTATATCCTCCATCTTGATAGTTTGCAACAGGCCAAGGTGATTCATAAAGTCATTTCATATATTAAAATAAAAAGTATTATAGTTCATATGCGTGAATGTGTGTTTCGCCTGTATGTCATGCATATGAACGAGTTCATAATAATTACTAAATTATAGAAAGGGATGTAGATTACACATTCTGACTGAATTACTCAAACATTTGATATCAAAATAATGAGAATTATATGTGATACTATACCCATTAACTCTCAAACGTAATTTTGACTTTGTTGTTCATGAATTCAGTTTTTTGTAGACATAACACAGCTTTTATTTGTAGTTAGGAAGTGACAGAGAATTGCAATTGTTATCCATGTCACAGAAAGGAGTCTGGTGCCTGAGCTTCTTCACACGTTACTTGCTGGTCAGTTCCTCCTTTGATGGCACAGTGAAAGTCTGGAACCTACGCAGTGGCATCTGCACACGTACCATGTTTGGCCATGATGGCCCCATATGGGCAATGGCACAGAAGGGCCATTTTCTGGTGACTGCGTCACAGGACAGGACAGTAAGTGTGCCATTTTACCATTGACAAAGATATTGCCAGTTTATAGTCACTCACAGTTGTGAGTGCTACAAATTCAGGTGCCAGCAAAAAAATTCTAGCATGTGCAAAATACCGGAAGGATTCTACAATGCCACATCAACTTTCACAGACACACAAGAAATGTTTTGAGGTCTTTCACTTAGAATGTCCACTTTGGAAAGCTTCAAACTAGCGTATAGATTACTCAAGCTTAGCATCTTCATGATACGTCATGCTCGAGTGCTAACCAGCACATTGAAATTGTTTCTTCCTCCTGAGGCAGAGTAGGGTCAATAACACACTGGTGCC